GACATATAGATATTTATTTAGTATTAAAATGATATGCCATAGATGATAAGATTTTTATCAAAAGTAGAGTATTAATAAATACTGTAACTGCATCATTTTCATATCACTGAGAAAAGTAATGGCAAAGTGAGTTAGTGCATGGATGTTCTAAAAAAGACAGGAACTGGTAGTTTACACTTCTTACAACGATTTTGAATTGAGGTATGCTGTATATATACTATTTCTGTATTACTTTTTAACCCCCGAGTGTAAGCGAAGGAAGTATTGTAATCGAGTTCATCGACCGACTCTCTACTTTTACGTTCTCTCAACCTCTCATGACCCCAGGGCCGCCGCTAGAACTTTTGGCGCCCGAGTGCAAGTTTGAATTTAGCGCCCCTCTTCAATATAAGATTTTTTTAAGTAAAAATTGTATTAAAATCAGTGGAAAATTAAGGACCAGTCTTTAAAACGTTAAAATTAAAATTTATTTCGTATAACATAAACAAACAAATACCTTTATCGAACACAAATCAATTTTGCTAATAAAAAACATAAATACATTATGTATCCATATAATATCACTGAATACAAAAAAAAAAGAAACGAAAAAACCTAAAGCATACAAATAATATAATTAAATATTTTTTTACTAAACCAAATGAATGTTCCTAGATTTCATACTGAGAAATTCTGCAACTATTTTTTTATGTCCAAACTGTCTAACAATTCATGTTCAATTGCAACAATAGATAAGTTACTTAGCCTGCCTTGACTCATGGTTGATCTGAGATAATTTTTTATTATTTTCAATTTTGAAAAGGATCGCTGGCCAGATGCAACCGAAACTGGTGGTGTAAGCAAAGTTCTTAATGCTATTGATGTATCGGAAAAGTTGAGATTAAATTGTTTTCACACCAATACGTAGAATTTGGTGGGGATCTTCTAACGGTATAGCATAGCTGAAGAGTGCAGTTTTAGAGCTTTAATCTTATTAAATACGGCAATGTCGACCTCACCAGGGGAATCAACTGCAAGTTTTAAATGTAAATCTTTACAGTTTTTTAGAAGTAATGTCACCACGAAAGCGTACAGGGGCGGGGCTTAAGTTGCGCGACTTGTAGTCGGACTAGCAGTGGCGTAACATCGATGTATTGAGAAGGGAGGCTCAGCTTCCGCTGAGTTATATTTCTTTTAAAAACAATAAAAAATAGAGCAATTTCTACAATAGAATACAGAACCATTTAATAAAAATAAATTTATTTGTTTGGTAAAAAACAGGCTTACGTAACAATAGGGATTATAGCATGAGTAAAAAATTTCACAAACCCCGCATTATAAACCAGTATCATACGCTATTTTATAGTTGAATTGTCTTGTCTTAAATCAACAGTTAAATCTTTAGATAAAAGCGGGGATAAAACCCTGAGAATTAGCAACCCATGACTATAGTTACATGGTTTTTAATTTTTTGGCACAATTTGTCAATACCATAAACTCCGATTACAATAAGGCTTAACGTTTTCTGTCTTTAACCACGAAATAATAATCACAGTTCATATTTTAGCATAATTGTCGTTTATATAGCTTTGACTGTACACTGTACCGTAATTTATCAATTGTTATTGCTCATTAAAAATGACCTTTTTACTTCTTTTACTTAGTTTTTTATTCAACTAAAACATCATAATACAGCATTAACAAACCTTTAAATTCATTTTCTATAATGTCAACGCTAATAAAATAGAAAATTGATATTTTTATCAACACCTATAATATTTTGATATTTCAAAGTCGAAATATTCATCGCCGGTGCCACTGCTCTCACGATATTTGTAAGGCCAAACCAAAACAATGTTCTGCGCACTCCCACCAGCTGTACCCTTTCGTGATGAAACCTTAGATCATATAATAAATAGATACCACCATGCGGTGTTCTTTCCCTAGCAGAGCCTGTGACGACATCCTCTTGTCACACATCTCTCTCGTGCTTGGAGCGATTACAATGAAGCTATCCTTGCCTGATCACTATTTGAATTTTGCGCGCCTAAATTTTAGGAAGTATGTCTGAACTAACTTCGTACGAAAGATGTTGACAGCTTGATTTTATAAATAATTCACAGTAGATAATGAAAGGAATAGTAAATTATTGGGCAGCAATTGTGATCCTTTATGATTACATCAATAGGATCTTTGTTCTAAATTCTAAAATTGTGTTTTGTACAACAACTCGAAAGAGAGGTTAGAAGAAACATCTGTCAAAAGCGATTTGTTGCGCTGGTGCGGTACAAGGATGGAAATGAAATAGACATATACAGATGAAATGCATATAACAAAGATGAAGATGTGGTGATCACACAAGGATAGCATTATACTACTCCTCTTGACGTAGAAAACGACAACAGATAGCTTCATGTCTAGTCACAGCTTTCAGATTGAGTATTGGTATCTATTTATTATATGATCTAAGGATGAAACCTGCTTTAACATATCTTCTTCTGAGGACTTAAACACATTATTGAAAAACCCAAATACATTATCATATGTGTTTAGTTCCTCAAATCTATTATTTAAAGAAGACAAAGTTTGGTTCAGAATTCGGTAAAAAAAAATTATTTTAAAATTAATTTTTGGATCTACGACTTCGTAATTCTGCTCGTGATCAAAATGTTTCGGTTTTCTTCTTGGACGCACGGTTGGATTGGCGGAAAAAATGGTTCAACATTAATTTCATAGGCAAGTTTGTCTGCTTCAGTTATAATTTTAGCAAAACTTTCATCTGAACGATATTTGGTAAAGTAACCTATTACATCTTTAATAAGTAAATTGATATATACTTTGATGTTGATGTTAGGATTCTGCATCATTTTAGTTAAGATGTTGATTTGATTCAGAATACTTATCAAATCAAATTATCGTTGAACAAATAACTGCCATGAAGAAGTATTTTCGGATATTTCCAGCAAATCATCAAAGATTTTGCAAATGTGATACGTATAAATAAAATAAAATTACCGTCCAAACTACAAGTGCAAATAACAACTATGTTGCATTTGCCAGCTCGGACACCAACTAATTTTTGGAACAATGTTCTTTAACACCTTTCTGTGAATTACTAAAATAATTTAATTTATTGCTAACATCCCCCTTGACGTTCCGACAAACAACACTCGCAATTCTGGAAACTTATTCCTTTATGCTTTACCGATCTACAAGTTTGTTCACCATGCACTATAAAAAACAGATGTTTATTGATTTATCGATGACTGGATGACCTAAACAATATTTCTTTTTTTGCTTTCTCCCAAAGTCTCAATAAACCCTTTTTTCGAGTTGTACATTTTTTTATATTATTTTGGGAATTTTGAAAAGTGCTACTTTGCGTGCCAATTTGCCGCCCCCCTTTGGCAGCGCCCGCGTGCGGTGCACGCCTTGCACCCCCGCTTACGGCGGCCCTGCATGACCCCTTGAGAACGAAGAAATAGGTCTCCCGTTTTCGTCTATCTGTCTGTCGTCTGTTCGGATTTTTATTAGACAGATAGTCTCCGAAACTACTGGACCAATTGTTGTCAAATTTTGTATGTGTATTAGGTGTAGGTGGTAAAACGCTAACAAAATTTGTCTAATCATCCCCATCAACAACGTGATGACATCCCCCCAAAATTTTATTAAATTAATATATCTTAAATTTAAAAAAATATTATATTCCCACACTTGTGTTTTGCGAATCCGCCCTGCTTTTGTTCAGTATTATGATTGTAATTATTATTGCTCAGCATCACTTTCTTTTACCACATAATACATCACTTAGTAAATGTAGAAAATGGTTCAGTTGTACGGGACTCGACGTATCCAATTTTTTCCCCTTCGAATCAGAAATAGTACATCCCATTTTCGCAATACATTAATAGTCATATAATAATAGTAATAAACGTTATATTAAATACAAAATGTTCGGAAAATTATAAAATTTAATTTTGCGAATTTTATTTTTACTTGTTCTCGACGTTTCGTGATCCATAGAGTATGAAATATTAGGTCTCCTGGTTCAGTTTGTCTGCCGTGTGTCCAGATTTTTATTAGGCAAATGATTTCCACAACTACCGGACTGATTGTTGTCAGAGTTTATATGTATATTAGAAATATCGTGTAGATGGTAAAACGCTAACCAAAATTTGCCCAATCTCCCTATCAATGTGATGTTATCTCAAAATTTTTCATATAGTAGGTAGGATTTAAATTTTATAAAATAGCGTATTCCTGTATTTGTTTTATTGTTCAAATCTCTAAAACGGTACATGTCGGAATTGATTGAAACATTTTTAAATGCGAAACCCCACAAGCATAGTCTCGGCCCTTTATCAATGCATTCATATTCATGGTATTACTTATATATATTTATTTTAATGTATACATAGAAATTACCACGAATACAAATTCGCAAAATCAAATTTTTTCATTTTCAAAGAAGCGGGATTTGTGACCCTGCACTTCAGGGGCGAGGGAAGTCCTGCCGAAACTGTAGACCAATTTTTTAACTCTTGCTTACATTCAATTATATCTAATCTTTTCATTTGAATCATCAGTAGCCTATGTATACCAAAATCGAAATCTACATAATAATCATCAGTTGCAATAAAAATAGGATTTATTGAACGAGAGATAGGTTATCGAGTTTGTGATTAAGTGCAGTGACCCAAATTTCACAATCTCTTGGCTTTGGGTATCATCACAGCCAACATTATTTTTTACTAATTACGTGATCATAATATACAACTTTCAAAGTCCGGTAATAAAATTCTCTTTATTAAGTGCATTAGAGGGTTTAGCCATATAAACATATAAGTGAATGTTCGAACAAGAATAGACACACGTTACGTCTTATCTTTACGTCATGATAACAAAATCCACACAAGCGCTGTTTATTAGTACTAATACGTTCGTGTTATTCCAAAAAACATATGTTCTGTGCTTATATTAGTTATAACGTTTCAACAAATTAAACATGTTTATTTTTTCAGGCCGAACTGGTGGCTAAGCCCTGAGCGTCCTCCCTTTTCGCCCGCACAAAGTGCACATGTTGTCGAGGGGTGTAAAGCAGTTAGGCAGGCTGCGGCCTTGCTCTCAGGGGATTTTACCCTCGTTCGCATGCAGGGGTTTCGCCAGCCCTACGTTACCTGAACTCACTAAGGTAGGTCAGAAATCATATTTGGATTAGATTATACGCCGCTTAATCCGATTCCATTTTATATTAAAAAAGGCTCAATTAAAAACCTTAATAGGATTTTTTAATATCTGATTGAATGATGCTTCGCTGCGAAGATAATAATAATGCCACGTTGAATTTCGATGATGGGACTCGTCTTCTCTTTCCAGGATCGATATCCTCACGTGAAGCGAGGGGAATTCGCGAAATTGGATCAAAATCACTTGAAATTCTTTAGGGATCTGCTCGGTGAGAACCGCGTTTTGAACGACCCTTCGGACTGTGAGATCTACAACGTAGATTGGAATAGGAATGTTAGAGGTATCTATGCTTTTTAAACCACCAGATTAATCATGTCAGTCTTCCGAATTCCTGTTTTAGTAAGTTATTGCACGAAACCTGTATAAATGTGGAGGAAGCTAGAAAATGTTGAAAAATATTTAGATACAGCGTGTCCGTAATGGAAGAAATCCGACAAAAAAGTCAGGAATGCAATTTCAGAAAAACTTACCAAGAGGTCAAAGTATTATTTATACCAGCTATGTTTCAAAAACAAATTTGAAAATAATTTTTTGAAGTTGTAGAGTTTGTGATGCAATCGATAGTTTTTTTAACCTTATACATATGTTTTCGAACAGTTTCCAGTGTCTGGAATTTGTGTTAATAAAATTTTTGTTTTCTCAGTATAGTATCTTTTAAATGGTGAGAACAGTAAAAAATTGTAATATGTACTTTATATAACAGTGACACAATAATTGTGTGTCAGTTTTATGTACTCTTTGATGATATTACTTACAACTTTGACCTTGTTGAATGAAAGATTTCAAATTACGTTTTTTTCAAATTTTGGCCCGAAAAAAGGTCCAAACAATGCAAGTTTTGTCGAATTTGTTCCACATTTTAAGAACACTGTATTTTATTCACGAAGGTTGAGACATCTTCCCCTAAAATATAATCTTATTATTGGGCTCATACTTTGAATAGTAAACAAAACTTTCACATTTAGAGAATCAATTGTTGGGGGGTTCCGGATGAGTCACACCAAATAAATACTTAAAAACTAAAGTAAAGTAGTGTCCACAATATAGTGCGATCACACATATTGCTGTTGTTATTTTAACGCTTCCTGCGTGGATGGCATAAAATTGTGGTAGAAAAAAAAAGCAATCACAGTTGGCTATGCTTTTAAAATTTCTTTTGGTTCTCTGTTGATGTCTTACCATGCTAACCATGTCATACGAGGTTAAATTATATTAAAATGTCTGAGGTACACTTCATATTACACATCAAGCCTAACTGAAATTGACATTTCATAGGTTATCTAAATGATGCCACTCAGTGGCGAAGAATTTATTTAGTGAAAAAATAGATATACTCGTACGTATCATATCACTTTTTTAAATTATTACAATTAGAGTAGAACGTAAACTTTAATTTACCATCGAACTCTTCATATTTTTGATATTATAACCTGGCCTGTATGTAGTGTGAAAGATTCGCTTCTGGGACTTCGGGTTATGTTGCTGAAACTTTTTAATCATATATGTACCCTTTTCAATGTTAGCTTAGCGACAGAAACTTGGGAATCCTCCCTATATACGCTAATTATTATGAACACACTTGGATACTGTTACGACATGTAAACTAGAAAACACCAAAAGAGCTTGGGCGAGGGAAATTTCGGTTTCGTTGCTCAGTATCTAGTGAAATTGATATTAATTTGTAAATAATCCATTTTTATAACTTCTAAAAATTGTCCAATTCCACCAAAAAATCTTAAAATAATTTTTCGTGTCGTTTTAAGGGCATGTTTCTATTCACCCTGCAATCGAGTTGGGACAACAAAAAGTTAAAAATATGTATGTATAGTTAACAAAAATTGGTAAATAAATAGTAATAATTCATATATTACTTAAAATCGAGTAATTTTGCATTAAACATTTCAAAATTTTATCGGAAAAATGTCCACAGTGACAATGACGTTTTCGTCTGTCGTCTGTCATTTGGTGACTTTATAAGATGCGTCATTTCCAAGACTACTAGACCAACTGCTGCTGAATTTTGGGTGTATTTAAGACTAACATGAAGATGACAAAATTCGTTTGCCATCTCCATCAAGAATTTGAAGATTAAAATAGTAAATTATAAGTTTAAATAATATGTTTCTGTACTTGTGGTTTATGAATCTACCTTGATTTGGTTCATTATTCGTATAATTTTTATTGTTTAATTCTTCCTGTACTTCAGATAGATAATACGACCAGCAGGTCATATATGGGTACGTACACGCCCCTCAGCTTTGCAAATGAAAGCCCTCGGTTCGAACGCGATCCCCGGGATTTGTAACTTTTTCAATTGACCAAATCAAGAGCGGTTCACAACATTTTCTCGAAAATGTAAGAATACAGTAATGTCGCGCCCGCTTATATTTAACAAATCTAAAAGAATAATTGTCATAATAGTAGCTACTCACCCAAAATAATATTCGGACTGTTTTGCTTCACTGCAGCTTAATTAATTAATTAATGTCCTGCCCTCTGATTTGAGGAGACAAAGACAATCAAATTTCATTTCCTTTTAACCCAAATGCATACTTTGATTTGCGGCCGCTGATGCTTGTTATCTAAACGTGCTAATAGTCAAATTCTTTCGAAGTATAAACATAAACAGTCGAAGTTAAACGTATATTTGAGAATATACTCTATCTTTATCTCCTTTAAATATATTTCATATTGTCAAATTTTACAATCATTAGATAGACTTTATGTATATTTTCGATTTATTCCGAAAAATTTTGAGATTATGTCATAAACTTTTTTAGGAGGGGAAAAACCGATAAATTTTGATGAACGATTTACTGTGCTTATGGTAACCGCAAGAGTATTTGGTTTTGTAGTTTCAAAGTTAAATTGCAAAATATTGTCACACAATTTTTTTGGTTTCCAAAAATCTATATGCCTAAGGTAATAACTTAGATGGATTCATAAATTACACATGCAGGAGTATTGGATTTTATAAAATTTAAGTAACATTTATTCGGTAAAATTGTAAGATGACGTCATCAGTTTTTGAGGGAATCGTAAACGATAAATTTTGATGAACGGTTTACCATGTTTCCGATAACCTTAAAACGTTTGTAAGGTTTCAGAACATTCGGTTTTGCAATCAAAGTTAAACTGTGCTGTTACGCAATTTTGATGTGGATGTCTAGGGTAAAAAATCAACACGGATTGATAAATTACAAATCGATGAGTATGTTATTTTACAAAATTTCAGTAACAGTTACAATTTTTATCACTTATCAATCATATTATAATTTACAACTGTAAAAGTTCGAAAAGACGTCATATCATTCATGATCAGAAAATTTTGGTTAACGATTTGCATTTTGTAATACAGTTTGGATTTTTTACGAAAACGCCTAGGGTAAACAATCAAGGCGAATTCATAAACGACAAATACAAGATTGTATTAACCTGAAGGAACGTCATCAAATTGTTAGTGAGGAGATTAGACAAATTTTGGTTAGGGTTTTTTCAACGATATTTCTAACATACCTATAAAATTTGATAACAATCGATCCAGTACTTTCGGAGATTTACCTGTATAATAACAACTGACACAGACGACAGGCAGACGGAAACGTAAGACGTACCCCAGGGGTCATGAAACGTCGAGAAAACGTAAAAGTAGCTGGGGAAGTAAAAATAGTAAATGAACGAACTACTGTCAGTTTAATACTTTAAAAATACGTCTATTAATTTTCCAGTTATTTATAATCCACCACACAACGTCGTACTGACAATGACGTTGTTATATTGCTCAGGGTTCTATGAGGTAATATTAAAAAATAAACAATATATATACATCCAGCAGGCTTGATTATGGACACCTCTTTGCATGTCAGCGTGATAATTTAACTTAGCCTAAAGCCACGCACACCCACAATCAAATTGAACATTCGCGGAACAGAATTACTTGAACTTTTAAAGCACGATCACCTCTAAGTAATTCGTTTTTTGTCGACCACTCGGTAATTTGCCGCTACATACACAAGATCATAATGTTTTGTATTTTTTTACAAAGAAAAATTTGTTATTGAATAAGCGTCAATTTTATTGGTGATTATGACACTGCTGAGTATCCAGTAAAAATTATACATTAAATTAACTCTCACTAAGTTAATTTCAGTTCAAAGGCAAGTTCACGCCTATTTTAAAAATTTCCTGTTCAAAAATTTTCAAAATTTTACTTTCGTTCTATGGGAGTGTTCTCACTTTTCTAAATTCGAAGATAGTTTGTTTTTTTAATTTAAAATATAACTTGATAAGTGTAACAGGTGGTGAATATACAGGTTCTGCGAAAAGTCGATCCACACATTTTCACTCAAAAAATACGAGTACTAGATGATCTCTGTCAGTTCACAGTAGTTATTCATTATTAACGAATAAGCTCCACTAATTGTAATGAAAACCACAAAATGGGGGTCACTATCTTGTTACAATGTAATTTAATGTTACTGTGGTCAGGTCTGATGTTTTGCCCTTCAAGCTGGTCGCGTTAGTCAAAACTAGCAATTTGTCCACAACCCGAAGAAAAAATATGACCACACCGGAAACCCAGAGATAAGCCTTCAAAACCCGCAGTGGTGGTAACAAAAAAAACTCATGTTTTTTAGTCTCAACGATTATGTTAAGAATCCAGTTTATACCGGTATTAAATTGGCAGGGGCACAAAAATACATTCGTACGAATTTTTTTAAGACTTATTTTAATTTATGGCTCGTAAAATTCAGGAGTTCGGGTTAATTTTATTCACTGGTGATAATTTTCATATTTAGGATATCGTCAACGACAAGCAATGCAAACTCCGTTAAACTTTAAATTCCCGTTTTATGTATTTTCATTGGTTTCAGTGCAGAATGGACGAAATGTATCCACTTATTTCACAGATTACCTCACAATCTGTTGTTTTAAAATCAGGGGAAGTTCGGGATAAGTAATGTTGCACATTTTTTATTTTCCAACACGCCAGTGTTTTACTGACCCTGCAACATCACGTTGTGCTTTGCTCTAAAAAATTTAACTCGCATTTAAATTATTTATGACCATACGTATGTACCGCGGGTCGTTCAACGACCCACGTTTATTTTGTTTTTTTTTTTTACAGGATATAGCGACTGTGTGCTGAAACCTAAAACAACACAAGAAGTATCTCAAATATTATCCTTTTGTAATGAACACAGACTCGCCGTGTCTCCCCAAGGCGGTAATACAGGACTTGTAGGAGGTTCGGTTCCTGTTTTCGACGAGATTGTTCTGTCTCTGAGTTTAATGAACAACATTATTAGTGTCGACGATACATCAGGTAAATAAATAACTAATTTTTTAACGCGCCCTGACATTCAACACTATTGTATTTCAGATATATGAGCTAATTTCCTTTCAATTTTGTAATTACGCTTTGGAAACTTGTAATTAGTGTTACATTGTACATATCAAAATTAATAATGAATTAATTCATGTATCTTCATTAATGTTAGAACTGTCACGGAGCTTTTGTGTAAAATTCAATTTACCTCTGAATGCTTACGACAGAGGTGGCCCAGGTGGACGTTATATATCTCAATTTTTATGGAATATGATGGCTATTCGAAGTTGCTTTTTGCATTGTATAAATTATATTTAAGTAATAGATCATTTTTTGTTGACATTTGAGGTTATACTTCAAAAACTTTGCAACAATTATCTGGTGCGTTTCAAGGGTTCATGCTGCGGCCATTTCTCTTTACACTCTATACGAAACCTAAGGCATATGTTGCCATATTCCTAATACTGTGAGGAGTAAATTCTAAGTAACTGGAACATATAAATATATCGCTGTAGCAACCAATGGGCTGCAACTTTTTTTCGATAACGCGTATAGAAATGATTATAATTTCATTTAACTGCCTACTGAACAAGCACCAATGGTGGGTACTGAAACTTCGTTATAATTTTCTGATTTTGGTGATTTTCAGCTGGTCCGTGTGCCAACACTATTGATCTGAGAGAGTTGATTTTTTTCAGGCATTTAATAGTCCATACAATAGAAAAGTTTAAAGTACAGAATGGATTGTAGGCTAAAAAAGAGCCAAAACAGGCGATAAAAACGGAGGATTTATGCGAAAATGTTTATTATTTTATTATTTTACATAATCATTAATCCTAATTTTCGTTAAAATTTGCATAAAAAACTAGATGTTTTTCTAAATTTTCAGCAGAAAAATGTTTCGTACTGTTTTTTAGAACGTTTGTATATCTAGAGAAGAATTTCTCAACATCACACGATGTTTAACGAGAATACTTAAAAGTAGAATTTTTAGTGGGTTTCACTTTTAATTCGTTTTCTACATTTTCGCCTTGTAATTCTTTGCTGACAAGTTTAAGCTCTTGGTACCCGGTATTTTTTTGTAAAGTATCTTGCAGCTTTTTGAATGCTCTTTCAAGTCTGATACAGTTTGCAAAATCTCCAGCGCTTCGCCTCGCAAAGCTATTACCAAAGCTGTCGCTATTGTGGTTTTTCCCAGAGATTCGCCGTCGCTGCTGCTTCGAACTGCTTTTTGTATGATGATCAAGGTGTCTGACCATCATAGGTGGGTGGTTGAATCGTTCCTGGGGCCGACGTCACATAATATGAACCAGTGGGTGCTACATTTTTTAATGTCTTTTCAAATTCATTCATGCACTGAATTTTGTAGCTTACTTTTTAACTGATGCTCGACTTCTTCTTTTACTTTTTCGTCCATTGAGACCATATTTCATTCGACAATATTTTCCTTAACTTTTATTTGTTCTTTAATTTCCTCTATTTTATTCTTGTTTGCTTCTATGTCCATTTGGAATTTCTCATTTAGGCTAGTGATCAGGTCATCTTTTTGCTTGTCAATTTTTGCGTCCATCATTTCCATTTTTTCATTCATTACTTCGATTGTTGCGTCATCTTTTGATTCATTTTTCCATTCTTACGCCCATTCTTTCCATTCTTGTCTCCAATTTCTCGTTCATTTCCTTGTTTTTTGCGTCCATCTCTTCCTTGATTTCTTTGTTCCTTGTGTCCATCTTCTCGTCCATTTTTTCTGTCTATTATCTGCTTTACTTGTTCCACCATTTTCACAGTTTGAGCTCTCGTCTCGACAGGCATAAATTCTTCAGAATTCATGTCCAATCTGTCCGGCAGTCGTCGTAAAACCAGTTATTAATCTCAAATCTCACTTCCGACACCAGTGATGATCGGTGATTAAAATCGGCGACTCCAATTTACACGACTAACTAAGTATAGTTCATAATCGTAGTAACGATGATGTACAGAGTACTTCCGACTCGACTGGAATGGATTTGACTAGACTTCTTCCATTGTCTGGACTACACTAACTCCTCCCGACGGTGGTTCCCATTTAAACAGCCTTCTCGAAGGTTTCCGTCACCGCTTCTAGGCCTGTTCTCAAACACCCCTCGCAACATCCGCTTCCAGTCTCTTGTCCGGCCGCCGTCACCGACAATGAGTCATCGTCGCCGTACATACTAGAACCCACAAGCGTCGTACCGGGTTGGCGTATCGGTTTATTTCGTAACAATATTTAGATGTTATCTATATGGATTTTCATAAAGCTTTCGACCAAACTGACCGGGTACATGCTAGTTGGCTCCGGCGGACGGTATTTGACCCTCTGCCGAAAAATGGGTATAGGTAAATTAGCTCCGATGGTGCAAGGAAGGTAGATTTTATGGTACCTCCTACGGTGAGGGGATCATCTGCAGATACGTTATTTCCTGCTGTCGCAAGAGATGTGTTGTTTGAATTACAGGAACATATAATTCCATAGTCATCAAATTTCTATGTCTAGAAAGTGGTGGCGGTAAGGTAGTTACAAAGGGGTTTTCTGGTATTTCCCAGATTTGCGGGGTCTTTGAAGTAAGAGGATAACAATCGTTACGGTGAGAGTAAATATTTCTATACTTTTATTACTATCTGCACTGGTCGAAAATGCCCATTCAACACAAATACAAAATTTCCGGCCGAAAAATATCAGTTTTTTCTTAAACTTTCTTGTGCCCAAGCGCTTAAGATAATTGTTACAAAATGGACTGTTTGGACGAAATGATTAGTGAAAAAGGGAAAACAGTTCTGTTAATTAGGTAATAATTATAAATATAATTTTCATAAAGTGTTAGCTCAAAGTGTTATACGTTGGCAGTGTGTAAAACGTGGCTGTAAATCGTACATCAAGACGAATGCTTCGAATAATAGAACAAAGTGGTGAACATACTCACGAAGCGACTGAAACTTCAAAATTAAACAGACAGAAGCTCAGCAATTTTGTTTTGGTTTATATTTACCTTATCTTTTGCAGCAAAATACAATACTAACAAAAATAAAAAAATATATATTTACCAAGCAATAGTAAATAAATTGTTAAAATTATTAGGGGTAATAGTTCGAACATAAATGTGTTGTTTTTCTTAAATACTTATCGTTGCAATGATGAACGAATAAAATTATAAATAACAACTTTAAATGAAATTTAATTTTTCAGTTGGCATTAGATATTAGGTTTTGTGAAAACAACCACAGTTCTGCGTTACCCGTCATGCAGGCAGCAGGAGATGGGAGCCAACTAGTACTTGCATCTGGCGGGAGCCAATTTACCTGTTAGTCCGGAGCCAATTTACCTGTTGCTTAAGATTCAAAAGTAGCCGCCGGAGCCAACTAGTATGTTCGCAACTGACCACCACTTACTGATTAAAAAGCTAGATTTTCTTGGTTTTTCAAACAATCTTCTTCTGTTATTCCAATCATATTTGCGAAGTCGAAAACAACGTGTTAAATATCAAAGTTTTTTTTCCAGTCATTACATTGCTACATCGGGTGTTCCGCAGGGATCGAACCTAGGTCCACTGCTATTTTTATTATTCATAAACGACATCACGGAAGTCATAACAACAAATAAGCTTTTATTCGCAGATGATTTAAAAATCTTTTGTCAGATTAATAGTCAGGAGGACTGTAACAAATTACAGCTTAATATAGATTCCCTTACAACATGGAGTGACAACAATAGATTAAAATTTAATAAACGAAAGTGTTATATATGTAGTTACCTATACCAGGAAATCTGCCCCTTTGATACATAGCTACTCTATAAGTGGTACTATACTGGAACGAGTTGGCAAAGTTAAGGATTTGGGCATATTATTTGATTCCAAATTAACATTTAACTTTCATATAGAAGAAATTGTTTCAAAATCGTTTAAGCTGTACGGATTCATTTATCGGAATTGTAAAAACTTTAAAAATGTTACTGCATTAAACACATTATATTTTTCTCTAATTGGGTCTAGGTTAGAGTATGGCGTCTTAATTTGGTATCCTATTTATAAGGTCATCAACTTGAATCCGTACAAAGAACCTATCTTAAGTTTTTGTCCTTCTTGACTGACGGGCAATATCCAGAAAAGGGATGTAATCATGAATTGTTGTTAAGAAAATTTCAATTTTTATCGTTAGCAAAGCGACGTAACATTATAGTAGTAAAGTTTTTGTATAAACTTTTAAATAATCAAGTTGACTGTGCGTGGCTTTTGGCCAATATTACTTTTTGTTTACCTAGATTAAATATGCGCCATGTTCTTACATTCTACTGCTGTACATCAAAGTCAAATGTTATGGCTAAATCTCCAATTCCAATTATGTGTAGGACGTTTAATCGAATTTGCCATTTATGTGACATAAATTCTGACACTTTGCAGTCGATTCTGTGCTGTGCTGTTAACTTAGAGTGCTGGAGTATCTGATTTGATTTTATCTATTGTTTTTTTTTTCTTTTTCTTTTTTTCAACAGTATTAATTAAGTTCAAACCGGCTGATAGACTAAGAATTATATTTAAGTTATTTTTCTTTGTATTCGCACGTATAGGTTCTTTTTTTCAGTTATTTTAATATATATAAATTTCCTGTTATTGGGTGTAAACCCGTTGGAAAAATAAAGTATTATTATTATTATTATAGAAGATGCGGTGCTGACACATTAAGATTTCCCAGAACTTGATGAGGTGATGATTTTCAAAAAAATTAAAATTTTGGAAATGGCTTTTTAACTTTCCCGCTTCACAGATTTTTTCCAGACATACCAGATTTTAAAACTCCTGGATTTTGCATAACTTCATAAATCACTTCCACTTAATTTAATTTTTTTGTCTCCGGTTTTGTGGCAATTAATTTTCTTTTAGATGTTTTTAACTTTTTCTGGGGAATATTTTTAATCTCGGTTATTTGTCCAAACTTATCGCCAAGTTCCTGCAATTTCAACTTTTTTCAATTTTAAAGAT